TAGATCGAAAGTGAACAATTTTTCCCATCGAATGGTCATATTGGAATCTAAAATTTAATGAGAAATAGTTTTTCTAGACAGTCTTCAAAATGTTCGATGAGCACTCATATGATTGATTGATCATTGACCAATTAAATTTGACAGAGTTTTACTTTCCCCACATTTCTCTTTCGAATGGTGAAAACCGCAGGTTTCTAGCTGTTTTCGTTCTCAAGATGTTTAAAAAATATCGAAGCGCATTACATTTTGACGTCAATAGTAGTTGTGAATACTTCAAAACGATTTTGAACATCATTTCTCTAATGAAGATAATCTATGAATACATTTTTTTTGTCAATGGTAAAACTATTAGCTCATTTAGTATAAATATGGTAGTGATACTGAATTTTGCTTTTGTTGAATGACTTTCTTGACATTTTTGTGTACATTTTTTTTTTAATAATTTCAATTCTAATAAAAAAGTGATAAATACGAATTTCTAACCGTTCCGCATTAAATATGACAAGAAAGTGCAAGTAAGAAAAACGAAAATTTGTAAAGAACAGAGACAAACTCGTCGATTATTAATAGTATAGAATTTTTTTTTATTTTGATTTTAATATTCTATTAAGTTACGTGTATTTAAATTGGCTAAATCTTGGCAAACATTAAATCGTCTTATGTCAATTATTGGTAAATCAATTGGAGCTTTAGGAAATTTAACATTGATTCTTGGAATTATAATATTTATTTTTGCTGTTATGGGAATGCAGGTAAAATTGAATGAAATATAAAAATGTATTTTATGCTTAGCTTTTTTTTTTTATACATAGTTATTCGGTCAAAAATATTATGATAAATTTGGTAAAGATATACCAAGATGGAATTTTTTTGATTTTTTTCATGCATTTATGTAAATTTATTTCATCAGATTTTAAAGATAATATATATATTTTTTTTCTTTTTGTTTTTGTATTTGACTTTAAAGGATTGTTTTTCGTGTCTTATGTGGTGAATGGATTGAATCAATGTGGGTATGTCTTGAATGTGCTGGATGGCCTTGTATTCCATTTTTTCTACTTACGTTTGTTATTGGTAATCTTGTGGTATGTATTTATGTAGTTAGGAAAAATATCTTTTCAACGATAAGAAAAATAATTTTACGAGCGAAATTCGTCAATATAAGAAGAATTTTTTAGTTTATTTTTTAACCAGAAGTCGATCTCGAATACATTTAGAAAAAAAAAAAACTACAGATTTTCTCGTGCACATCATTTTTTATTCATTAGATATTTTGATTTTTAATCTGGAAGAATAGTATTTTTGATGTGCCTTTTAGATTCTCCTGTTTTTGTCTTTTCATTGGCTCAATAAACCTTAATGGACTCGCCCGCCCTCCCCCTTTTCCGGCACGTCATAGACTCAAAATTCTCCGGCGATTACTTCAGGGTGATATAGAGGCACCAAGGACTCCATAATCGCCTTCGTTTATCTGAGAAGGGTGTGGGTGTGCGAAAAGAAGGCTAACATCCACACCTTCATTGAATAAAGCCCTCCGATGACTGAGCAAAACAAAAAAAAAAAACAAAGTGTCAAGGTATATCAAAATTACTATTTTTCGGTGATTGAAGATTTAATAATTTATGAATAAAGGCAGGTGAGCATAAGATTTTTTATAGACTAGTCAAGATCTATTTCTGACCAAAATATTATCTAATAAATTCTCGTTAACTTGAAAACTTTCCTTGTCAGTCTTTTTGTTCTTTATTAAATAGAGTTATCATAACTGAAAAGTTACTTTAAAAATACCTCTATTCAAATTTCAGTGTCATATCTTGGTTGGTACTCATGATAAGAATGTAGATAAAACGATGAAGTAGATGCATTCTGTTATATTTTCTATAAATTATTTATGAGTTTAATTTACAACGAAACAGAACTTCTAGAGGGTGCGAATGTGAGTATATCTGTTTCATTTGAATCTTCATTAGAGCCCGTCGCATCTGTCTCTAAAAAATTTAATTAGTCGAGTTCGGGTTCAAAAATCCTTAAGCTCGACGATCTCTAATTCCTATCGACTACTCATACCCGTTATAAGATTCTGTAGCGTCTATCAGAAGGTAAAATTTAGAATGACATATATGCGTATGGGTGTAGGCATTCTATTCTTGGACTTCTACATCAACATCTTCATCTATGAACGATAGAAGTTCAATGAAAATTGAATAGTTTTTAAGAAGCCCAAAACTTCTGTACCACTATCTAACCCTATGATGCGACTAAAATTTTTCACGGAACTTACCAGGAAACTTTCCTAAAAAATCGTGACCTTGAAAGTTTTGTGACACAAAAAGTTTTTTCGTTGAAATTAGTTCTTTGAAGATAAAATATGTAGTTAATAGATATGTGCAAGATCAAGAACCAAAAATTATCAGAACCGAAAATAAAATTTTATCGAGATCAGAAGTAGAATCTGTGACCATATGATGCTCTTTATTTCGACATTTTACATGTAAAATGTTTCATGCATCATAAATCATCTCATACTGTCATATTAATATCTTGCACTAGAAATAGAAAGACGTCATGGTTGGAGATGTACAAGATCATTCTTCTCCTGTTCTCAGTAATAGCTACTGAGATGAGTATTAGTGCGAAGATCATGTGAAAAAAAAGTTGCCAGAGCTAGAACTAAGGTTTATAAAAAACATATTCAATGGTTTTAAGCAAATTATGTTACAAATCTTACGAATTAAATCAAAAAATTTGTCAGTGCGGCCTCTAGACGATTAGATGCTTTATTTGAATTTCTGGACACCTCTTCTGTTTCCTGTTTATCAAGATACAGGAGGTATAGAAGGTATGAGGAGGTATAGGAGACATAGGAGGTGTAGGAATTCATTTTTCGAGCAAGGTTTGGCAAGTGGCAGCAATATACAGAGTATTTTATGAATAGATGTTTAAATTCAAACACTATTGAATGATCAGCTATACCAATTAATTAATATCTCCAATATCTTCTATACCTCCTATACTTCCTTATACCGCCTGTATCTTGATAAACAGGAAATAAAAGGATTGTCCGGAAATTCAAATAAAGCATCATACGCTCTAGACAGGCCAAAATATGGAACTCACAAATACTACTTGTTATAAATTTACAATATATTGTCAGATGTTTGAAAACAATTCATTTAAAAAAATATCAAACAACTCAATAAAGTAAAATTATAACAATTATTGTACTTGATACGCGCGCTCTGAAAGGAGGGGGGACGGTTTGTACGTAAAACGGCCCTAAATAAAAATCATCTCAGAGCACTTTATAAAATTCAATTTCATCTTCCTCTAAGTAAGAATAAAGCATCTGGACCTCTTTCAGGCCATGTTTCAAGACCTCTTCTCGACATTTCTACCTAGGACAGAAGCTTTATCAATATCGGAATCCGCTCACAGGTTAACAGCGTTCATTTACCAAAAGAGTCTCATATTTTCAGGAGAGATAGGGCTTTCAAGAGCTACAAAATGATTACCAAATGTTAAGGAAAATA